GGAGCAACTGTTTTAGGTGGGTCAGAGGTGGGTCATTTGCTTTTAAAAAGGGGTCCCATCAACAGCTATTTGTCATGTACACCTAATTATGTATACATTTTGCTGTTTGGGGATGAAGCCAGTTGGCATATTTAGGTTATGCTTATGCTCATGGACAAGCAAGGCTGTCTTCACTGAAAACAGGATTCAATTACTCTGGGAATTTGGTGCGGTGCCAAAAATTGCACTAATTCCTGCCTCCGAAGAATAGGGGCAAGCTTTCTCCCCTATTCTTTTTCTTCCTCATTGTAAAATATGGCTTTGGTAAGGAGCCAGCCAAAGGTTGATGGGGTGGCTGAGCTGCCTAATTCATCAAATCAAGTCTTGACAGAAGGCAGGGAAGACAGGTTTACAGGAATGGTTAAATGCTATGGTATCGTGTTCCATGGAGGCATTGCAACCTGTTCTTGTTATAAGGATGGTTTAGATCAGTGTTTCTTCAAGTGTAGTCCTAAAACCCCTGGGGGAACCCAAGCTCCTCTCAAAGGTCCATGAAATCAAAATTAATTACCAGCCTATGTTGAAAATTAATGTAATATTAAAATCCCATCAAGCAATCATTAGTGATAGTGAATGTATCGATTTTAATATGATAAGTGCTGTATTTCCCCCAAAATAGTCTTATTTTCTTTTGACTCCCGAAATAAAAGCTTGGCCTTATTTTTGAGATGCAGGAGGCAGTGAGCATGGTCACCTCATGGCTGCTGCTGTGTTGCAATATTTTCGGAGAGAGCTTATTTTAGCGCATGGGCTCAAAAGCCTGATTATTTGGGCTTATTATCTGGGGAGGTCTTATTTGGGGAGAAACAGGGTATCAATGAATATAATCCACACAAACAAAAACTCTTTTGGGGTCCTCCATCATTTTTAAAAGTGGGAAAGTATCCTGAGAGAAGAAAGTTTAAGAAGCACTGAACTAGGTGTAACAGTTCTGAGACATGCCTTGAACTCAGCTTCGATGAAACAGGAGAAGGCAGTTTCCTAGACTAAGGTAGAAAAGATGAAACATGGCCGCTTCGACAGAAGGAAGTATGAGCAGGAAGCTTTCCTATAAGCACGACAATCAGTCCCTGAGGGAATAAACACCTAAGCATTTTTCTGCTGGTCCATGTCTGTGTCCTTCACAATTAATGCTCCGTATTGATCAGGTGAAATTTTAATTTTTTGTATTGATCGATTTTAAGGATTGGGATGTTAGGGTATCTAAACTTATTTATTGCAAATTACTTCCAGCTCCTCCAGGAGGAAGAAGGCTAATGTCAGCTGCGACTTCATTTAGTAATCAGGAAAGAAACCACTCAACTCCATTTGTTTGAAATTAAGTGTACTTTTATTAATTATAAACAAACAGTAGCAAAGCTAAGCTGAATCTGGTTAATTAGGTGCGAAAGTGAATAATATCATGTATAATTCAATCC